CTTAACAAATAAAATTCATTTGCATTTTGGCAAGAAGAATACTGAGGACAAGAAACAGTCTAAATATAAACAATCATGTTCAGAGAACAAAACAGTTACTCTAAGGATGGATCTTTAATCATCTTTTGATTCCCCACCTGTCAGCCTCCACAACACACTGCTTTATTAAACTCCTGACCTGTGCTGAATAGCTGGGGATATGGAAAGAACTCCCTCTCCCCTGCCACTCATTGGTCTTATATTGTGTAAAATGAGTCCAAAGCAATACAACAGTTTAAAAAATCAATACCCAGTCTGGGACGCCCTGGTGATGCAGGGATTAAACTCTCAGTGCTATCAAGCTATCACCAGCTACTGCAGCACAAGTTTGATCCCCGGCCAGGTGGCTGACCCAAATGGTGCCACACGCAGACCTCTCCTGTCTTGCTCAATGTTCCCCTCAATAGTATATTTCAGTAGATCCGCCTGTTCTGTTCCCCACTCCATCTCTGCACCTCTGGCCTATACCCCAGCTCTTATATGCATAAATAAATAAAAATAAATCTAAAAATAACCCTACCCATTCCAACGTTTACCTGATTGTTTCCTGATACTGTTTTATGAAACCGTTGAGCTGATGTTTCTTCCTTTGTTGCATTTGTCAGAACTTATCTTAATAAGAATGAAAGCAAATATTTCTTGAGCATTTCCTGCATACTTAATGTTCATTATCCCGTTGAATCCCCACAGCAGACCTGTGAGAAAGAGACTGTGACTCCCACTTCATGGAGGAGGGCAACAGGATCTCATAGGCAAGTAACTTGACCAAGGTCAAACCACAGCTTCAGGGCAGAGCCAAAGTCCAAACCCAGGACAGACTCAGGTGTTTGTGCCACTAGCCCACCCTGCTTGCGGTGGCACGTGGCCTCATGTGCACTTGCCTTTTTCTCAAATATGTGACAGTTATTTGGAATTCATATTGTAATTCTCAGGGTGGTGGTGGGCCCATGGAGCTGATTAGTTCACCCCCCTCCTTTCAGGGAAAGCACCCCAAGGGGTGTCGGGAAAGGAACCAGGGAGCTGTGGGTCCTGCTCTTCATCCTGACAGTGTTCCCGAGCTCCTGGAGGAAGGCCTGGACCCATGTGGCCAACGGGGACAGGTGCTTGGGTGGCTTGGGCTGAGTTCCTTCCCTTCACTGAGGCTCTCCTTCCACAGTAGGGCGGGATCATGTCCTGCTCTTGAAAGGACCCAAAGAGGCAGGCTCAGGCCCAGCCCTTGTGTTGGTGAAGACCCTAACGCCTGCCTGAATCTCTCACCTGGCTGTGGGATCAAGTTTTGCAGCAGCTTCCCCTCCCAGTTTCTTCCACCATGCAGGATGGCTGTGGGGAGCAAGTGACATCATTAGGGCCCCCTCCCCTGAGTCTCAGCGCCAGGCTGGAGGCTGCTCTGGAGTCTGAAACTCTCCTGGCCTCATCTGTCCCTTTTGTGCCTCTGAGTATCTCTACGTCTTGATATCTTCATGCTTCCTCTCCTGGCCTGTGTGCCCTGTATCAGGCGCATGTTTAGCGTTTAATCAGTTCATCATTAATAGGTTATAAATTGAGTGATGTCACGCATCACGCATTGCAATGCACTGTTTAGCCGAATGCCTGCTTTTGGAGCTGTTATGAGGATGAAGGAAATCAGATGTGCTCCACTAGTGCTTACCCATTGGCAATTGTATTTCTAATCATTATTTAATGTTCAGTGAAATATCTGTAAGTGGGAAGCTACACTAGACAGATCATAGTCCTGGTACAAATGAAAGAAATCTCTCTTTGACTTGCAGACAGTCTTTCCTAAGTGCATCTGGCTGGAGAAAAAGGACATGAATACCGTGGTGGGGGCCCTCATCTGGGTCTATGTCCTAATGGTCCCACCTTCAAATACCAACATTCATTAGGGTTATGAATTTTGGAGGGATACGAGCATTCTGCCTATAACAGTATGCTAGGAATGTGTTGATTTCTGCCACTGTAAGAAGGTATAAAAATGATGCGTCTGGCTCTAGAAAGTTATTTTATGTGTTCAGAGTTTTGCTTGTCTGGTAAAATATTTGTGTATGCCAGACATGTCTTCTTAGATAGTCCTATCATTTTCTTTGTGAAATAGAAGCTAGTTGCTTTGCTTGAAAATTATAATTACTATGCATGCCTGAGACTATTCTGGGAGCAATAGTAAACGAGAAACACAACTGTGCATGTGTTTTTGTTATTCAAGGGGAAAGTAGCTTTCTCCCCTAAGGCAGCAGTTCTTAACCTTTTTGATTCTTGGACCCTGTCATATAAATTAGGAAATTATTGGGCCTCCCTGGTGGGGCAGGGGTCAAGTCTCAGCACTATCAAGCTATTGCCTGCCACTGAGGCATCAGTTTGATCCCTGGCCAGGGAGCTGACCCACATGGCGCAGCAGACCTCTCCTGTCCCGCCCACTGCTCCCCTCAGCAGTGTATTGCAGTTGATGCGCCTGTTCTGCTTCCCACTCTGTCTCTTTTGGATCCTCTCATGCCTGCACCTCTGGCCTACACCCCAGTTCTTCTATGCATAAATAAAAATATATCTTAAAAAAATTATTGAGACCAACAAAGTTTTACCTATATGTGTTACATGTACTAATAGTCCCTACATGGAGTTAGAGCAGAAATGAAAAGTATATTTATTTGAAGTGAGCAAAGATGAAATTGTATGCTAAATATTTTTATGAAAAATAACTATTTTCAAAACAATTTATGAAAAGAGCGGCATCATCTTATATCTGCAAATCTCTTTTAATGTCTGGCTGTATAGAAGACATCTGGATTCTCACATCTGCTTCTGTATTCAGTCAGTCTCTTCCTATGTCCCCTGTCATTAGCTTCTCGCTATACACATGAGAAAATTGAGAGGTAAGAAAGAAATATGTTAGTAAGATTACAGGAATAGTTTAAACCTCATGAATGCCCTGAAGGAATCTTAAGTACTCTTTGGGGGGTGTCCTCCAGACCCCACATTGAGAACTGCTTTCTCAAAGCAGTTTGTTCCAGAATAGGAAGAATATGTTTATACTGGAATATGAAACACAAAGGACACAATTTGGAAAAGTGATTTTTTTTATTATTTTTATTTTTTTTTAAAGATTTATTTATTTTTATACAAGAGCTGGGGTACAGGCCAGAAGCACGGAGGGTGAGAGGATTCACCAGAGACAGAGTAGGGAGCAGAACGGGCAGACAACAGAAATACACTGCAGAGGGAGCAGCAGGTGCGACAGGAGAGGTCTGCGGCACCATGTGAGCTTCTCACCGGCTGGCTGGGATTGAACCTGCGCTGCTGAGGCTGCAGACAGCTTCACAGCACAGCGCTCAACCCGCTGAGCCATGGGGGAGGCCCGAATTTTTTTTTTTTAAAGATTTATTTATTTATACAAGAACGGGTTATAGGCCAGATGTGCAGGAGGGTGAGAGGATTCACCAGAGACAGAGTGGGGAACAGAACAGGCAGACTGACGAAATACACTGCTGAGGGGAGCAGTGGGCAAGACAGGAGAGGTCTGCCGTGCCATGTGGGACCCTCCCTGGCTGGCTGGGATCAAACCCATGCTGCAGAGGCTGCGGACAGCGGACAGCTTCACAGTGCGGTGCTCAAACGCCTGCACCACCAGGGAGGCCCTGGAAAGTGATTTTTATTTGCTTTCATTTATAACAGCTGAACCTGAAAAGAAGTTAGATGAGCGTATGAAATATGTGAGCATGTGAAAAACGGTCATGCCCTGCATAGTGATGTTTTATCAGCAATGGATCCCATATTTGGTGGTGGTCCCAAAACTCCTGCTGCTTAATGACATGGGAACGTGCACGGCCAGTGTCCTACAGGAGCAATAAGAAGGCCTGCATGACCCAGCTCCTTCTCCAAGACGCCCTCCTGAATTGCTATGCCAATGAGGTGGAGAAGTTACTGTGTGGGAAATAATATACACAAAAAGATAGAACTGCGTTTCTCAAACATATCCTTTTTGTTAATCAATGAGTGGCTTTATGTTAAAATGTGGGCAAGTGTCATTGTTTTCTTGGTTGTTTCTTTGACTTCTTCATTAATGTCTTCATGAACAATACAGAAGGTAATTCTTTAATTTTCTAAAATTTACCTAGGTATTAGTTGATAGGTGGTCGCAGTGTCTTGTACAATCTTGAAAGGGCAGAGTAGTGGCAATTTAAAGTAAACTAAGAAAACTAAGGAAACTAATTATTCATACTCTGACAAGACCTTTAACTATAGTCATTTAAGAGTATGCTTTATTCAAATATCTGCATTAATATGAGTTGATGTGGAACAGGAAAAGGTTTGCACAAAGGGTGAAAATAACGAAACGTTAGAAATTGGTCCTTCCCTTTGGTGTCCGGAATTCCACTGACTGTCCTCGCTAATCATTTTCACCATGCATAAAATCTAAAAATCTTTTCATGATACTTGACATTTCTCAGAAAATCTTTTAAACTGCTTTCAGTTAAATGAAAGGGTAAGGCTTTTACTGTCCATCCTCTACTAGAAGCAAAAACATATCCTTCAATTCTCTTGCTTAAACTTTGACTTTTGCAAATTGTACAATGAAGAACTTAAAGTTAACACACAAAAATACAGTATGACCTCTGTATGCTTGAACAGCAACTTCACGTAAAAATTTTTTTTATCAGAAAATGACCTTTATTTTTATTATCTTGCCACAAAAAGCTCTAAAAACACTTATAAAAACATTAAAAGAGCACTTTAAAATCCTGGAATGAAAAATTCAAAGCATAAATTATATTACATTTTCTATGATTTATAAATTAGAATAAGATACATTCTATAAGGTAGAATTTCTGAATGATTTGGATAGGAATTTACTAGAAGGGAACATCAAACCTTAAAGATTTTCTATTTTAATCCCAATTTAGTATTGGAAAAGCTATATATAGTTGACAGGCACAATCCAAGGGAACTTGCCGCTGCTACTAATGATGAGATTAATCTGAAGGGCAGACACTCGCGTGTGAGATGTGCCAAGCTCTTCTTGGAAATGACTGAAGTGGTCTTCTTTTAGTTTTCTCCTTATGTTTTAAGTAAAAGTAAATATACATATGGTAAAAAAAATTAAATTCTTACAGAAAGATCTAAGGTAATAAGTAAATATCCTTTTCTCCCGTAACCCAGCAAACTGAGGTCTTCAAAACCATCCAATAGTCACATGAATCATTTACAAACTGAAGTCAACCTTGGAGTCGCTTGGACTCTGGAGTCTGGAAATAATCACTTGGAGCCTTTGGAATTGTGCTGATTGTCTCGGCTGGTACCTCCATTACAGAGGCAAAGCACCGCAGTCCTCTCCTTCTTGGAAAAAAAAAATTACAACAGTAACAAACACACAGCAGCTCAGGCAGCACCTCAGCCTCTGGATCTGGTCCCAGCTCTGATGAGGATCCCTCATAAAATCCCTGAAATTTAAGAATCACTTTTACAAAGGAGGCGCTTTCAAAAGGAAGAAAACTTCCTCTTCCTCAAAATGAGGTCACCTGGTCCTTGTAAAGTGGGGAGGCTTAATTCTGTCAGAGATTCAGGTCATCTGGTCACTTCTTAATAGAAAAATAGCTTTATTTAAAATTGTACAACAAGGGCCTCCCTGGTGGCGCAAGGGGTTGAACATAGCACTATGGGGTTGTCCAGAAGCCTCTGTGGCACGAGTTCGATTCCTGGCCAGCCAGGGAGCAACCCACATGGTGCAGCAGACCTCTCCTGACTCACCCGCTGCTCCTCTCAGCAGCGTATTCCAGTCAGTCTGCCTGTTCTGCTCCCCACTCTGTCTCTGGTGAATCCTCTCACCCTCCCGCACCTCTGGCCTGTACCCCAGTTCTTGTATGCACAGATAAATAAATCTTTAAAAAAAACAATAAAATTGTACAACAGCCTCGAGTCATAGCGTCCCAAGCATTCAAACTCAAAGGTCAAGTTTCCTCAAGAGAACTGAGGGAAGATGAGATGGCAAAGGACTAAGGATGGAGTAGGGAAATCTTTTGGAGAAACTTCCACCCCAGTGATGAAAAGTTGCATGTTTTTGGGCCTCCCTGGTGGCTCAGCGGTTGAGCGCTGGGTTGCGAAGCTGCCCGCAGCCTCTGCAGGGCTGGTTCAATTCCCGCTGCTTCCCGGCCACCCGAGGAGGGTCCCACATGGTGCGCAGACCTCTCCTGCCTCCCACTGCTCCCCTCAGCAGTGTACTTCAGTCTGCCTGCTCTGCTCCCTGCTCTGGCTCTGGTGAACTCTCTCACCCTCCCGCGCTTCTGACTGTACCCAGTGCATGTATAAATAAATAAAAATAAATCTTAAAAAAAAAAGAAAGAAAAGTTGCATGTTTTTTTGCCTAAAGCGTGCTCTCTCTCCATTCAGCAGGAAAGGCTTACAGAGGCGGTGGCAGGAGCTCAGCCCAGCCCCTCCTGAATGCCTCGGATCCTCCTGGCCAGGTGCACATCCTTCGGGAAGAGGGTGACGCGGCCCGCGTGCAAGGAGAGGAGATAGGCATCCTCAAAGAGGTGAACCAGGAATGCTTCTGCTGCCTGGAGCAGGGAAAGAAACAGAAAGATGGACATAGGCTGAGGCCTAGGCTGCTTTTTTCTTGGAGGACAGCTAAACTTGGTCTCTGAGGGTACAAAGGGCAGGAGGAAAGGCTGTTCACAGAATGGAAGGAGGCTAGATTCCAGAACACAGAATGCCTTTTTTCCCAGACTCACCCCTCACCCAACCACCTTGGCCCTTTCTTACCTCTTGTAGGGCCAACAGGGCCTGGGCTTGCCAACTGAAGTCCACACCGCGAGTGAATTTAACACATATTTCTCTTACCTATGAGGTGGGGAGCAAAGGAGAAGAGGGGTGGGGCGGTGCAGAGACAAAAAAGGAGAGAGATTCAGGGGAAATGGACACTGTCCAGGGGTCTCCGTGGACCTTCATTTCCATGCTACCTTCCTGGCCCTAATCTCAGGACCTAGCCAGCAGCCACGGTCAGCTCCTGGCGCAGGACAAGGGATCAGAGGGTGATGGATGACAGGATTCTTGTTTTTCTAATCAGAGAACACACTTTAAAAGGCGATAGGGGTTAGAAATTAATTTATTAAAGAATTTCGGTGCCCCTGGCAGGTTTGTATTTTCAGAAGATGAAAAGTCGTCTCCCAGGTTAAGAAGAGTTCCCTTAGCCATTAAGCAAGAGCTAGCAGGGCCCTGGATACCTGGGAAATTTAAAAAAAAGGAGGCAGCATGGGGGTTGGCAGGAAGCTCTTGGAGCTCACCAGGCGGCTGAAGGGGCTCTTCCTTAACAGCAGGTTGGTGCTCTTCTGAAGCTTTCGGATCTCCCTTAGAATCAAAGATCTCCGGGGACCTGTAGGCGGGAAGAAGTGCCTAAGCGAAAGAGTTGGGTCATGAAAATAAGGAACAGGGGAAAGTGGGCGCGGGGGTGGGGGGGTGCTCCCCAGCTTGGCCGGCCCAGGCAAAGAATCAAATCCCTACACCGTAATAAACTCCACAAAAGCAGAGATTTTATTTTATTCATTGTGTTCATCTTCAGCAAATAGAAAACAGCAGATAGGTTTAAACAAATATTTGCAAATGAATGAATGATCCCTTGAGGGTATTATCTGAAATGCCAACTCTTAACTCCAGCAGACAGGACACCTCTCTTTTCTGGGCCCCCAGGACCTCGTGCATCTCTTCTATCTCTTCCACCAAGATTGGAGACTTGGTTACTTTGTTTTTAGGTCTTCTTTAACACTGGAAGGAATCTGAGAGCCTGTGAAGCATGACACCTGTGTCTTGGTTATCCCAAGGCCCTGAGGTGAAGACAGCTGGTCAGAACTCGAGTGGCCAAAGTAGGACCCTCAGAGATAGCATAACTCAGAGCCAGTGTCAGGATGCTGGGCTCTGGGTCAGAGCCTTTGGTGAAAGCCTGGTTCCAACTATAAGAAAGAAAAGAATTTTTAAAATATTCCCAAAAGTAGAAATCAAACCAGTGAAACTGATGAGAAATTATAAATACAAGAATACAAAACATGAATTCTTCTCTTAGGTTGAATGTGGGTCTGCTGAACCTAAGTGGCCTGTTCAGGCACCATTATTGTTCCCTGCAGTTCTGCATTCCTGTACAAGATCAGAACTGCTCTTCAGTCAGCCATAGGAGCCAAACCTTACAAGGTGCTTTTCCAATCAATCAAGAGCAGAAAGCTTGATCATTCTGGGAAGGGTGTGCATCATGAGATGTGACCAGGAACACCTGGGGGGCCAAGGACTGATGTATGACAAGGGACCAGAAGCTGATCAGTGGAATGCCTTGTTGTAAGATTAGGACCATGGCCAAGGGTCTGGGGTCTGGTTTTGATGACAACACTTGGTCATCAAGCAGGTAAGCATTATTTGGTCAGCAGATTCATGTCCTCCGAAGCCCTAGATGACATTCCTGAGTTTCACCATCCTTTTCTCCTTGTCCTCCTGCCCCTCGTAGCTGATGCTGTATTATTCTGTCAATAAACATGGCCAGGATCTTGCTCTTCAACAGCATCCTGCATTATGCAGCCTGCTCCACGACTCCCACTTCTTTATCAGTGTGGTGCTGCCCGACACAACATTGAAGAGGAAACTTAATTAAAATTAGACTAGTTAGAAATGAAAAGTAATTAAAATGTCTACATCTCAAAAACTTATAAGACATAGCAAATAGTACTAGAGGAAAATGTATAAAAGCCTCAAGATCTAGTAGAAAACAAGAATATTAAAATGACAGGATCAAGGAGATGTGGCATATCCACATTATAGAGCATCATTCAGCCCCGAGGAGAGAAGAAATGCAGCCTCTTCAGCAAAATGGAGGAGTTTGAGGGAATTGTGTGTGGTAAAGCAAGTCAAAATGCTAAAAACAAATACTGGATGTTTATACAGCAGATGATTTAATGAAGGAAAACACAGAAACTAGTGGACATTAATAAACATGATGAGGAGTCTGAGGTTAGAGGGATGGCGGGGGAGGGGGATAATGGATCTAGGGGTTAGAAGGGATGGCGGTGGGAAAAAATTTAAAAATACAATATAATATAATGAAGAAAGAAGAGTAAACAGAAAACATATAATTGCTCAATAAACAAAGCCAAGGACCAAAGAAAATAAGTAAACCTCCTATAAATTGAACAAAGAAACAAACACATTAAAACTAACATTTTGATAGATAAAATTAGCTTCAGAAATGTTATTCAAGGTTCAGCCAAGGAAAGCGAATCTACACCAAGTAGTTCAATGGAAGGCATCCAGTACAGAGAAGAGCTGCAAGAACAGGGGCAGGACAGCAATCCAGAGAAGCCTCTGCCACAGGTCAGCGGCGGACTCTTTATCCCCGGATGGGGCATGTGGGCCAAAGAACCAGGGCTGTATCAGAGAACTGGTAGAGGGAAGCCTAGCACCTAGGAGGCAAACGCTCGGCACCTGCCCGCCTCCCCACCACCTGTCCCCAGTCCCCATAGGTGGCCTTTAGTAAACAGACATGCAGTCACAGGACACTAGAGATGAACACAACTAGGGGTCACCACAATTTGAAGGCCAACTCATGAAAGGAAGGCGCTGAAGGCAGCGCACCAAATAACCCAAAAGAGAGGAATGTGAGCCAGAGTCTTGAAAGGAAATAACCTCAGAGGAGCAAGAGAAGATATGGAACCATGACCCAAAACAAGCAGTTACAAAAACAACCAGTTAGAAAGACCATGGAAAAGAATGGGGATTAAACATTCAGTAGTTGGGCCCTAAAGTGCCAATATTATGCGTTGAGATTTCATCTTAAAGTAACAGGAAGCCACAGGAAGCCACAGAAGAGTTTTAAGCAGGATGGAGAGGCGATCAACTTATATGTCAAAGATCATTGAAGCGGCTGTACAAGGAAAGACCAGAAAAGGGACAAAAGTGGAAGTGCAGGGTTAGGAGGCCGTGGCTGAGACCAGGCTGGTGGGAACAGAGCCACAAAAGGGGAGCGACTAGGATGAACTGACAATGGACTGGATGCGAGGATATGATAAAAGACTAGCTCCCAAGGTTTCTGGCTTGAACAGGTAGGAAGGTAGATACGTCACTTACGGGAAATAGTGAAAATGGGAAGAGGTTGGAGGGGAGTACTCAGAAGTTCACTTTTTGATATTTAGTTTGACACACCAGGGCTCAGGTAGAAAGGTATCCGGATCCAGGTAGAGGAGAGTTCTAGGCTGGAGACACAAGTGTGAGAGCTGTCAGGCATGAGAGCTGTCGGCCATGGGAAGGGGCGAGGCCACTGGGGTAGGGGTGCATAAGATCAACATCAAGTGCTGGAGTGGAGAGGTGGCACAGGTAGGAGAGGATGCTAAGCAGGAACTTCCCAGAGAATATGCATCATGGAAGCCACTGGAACACAGTGTTTCAAGGAGAAAGTGACCTCTGTGTCAGAGATCCCAAGAGAGCAAGAGGACACAGATATTCTCGCTGGGTTGGACAGCATAAAAGGAGCTGGTGACCTTGACAAGGAAAGTGGGCTAGAAGTGGGGGCAGTGCGTGGGAGTCGTAGTGGAGAGGGTGGAAGGGTGACTGGGAAGGGGAGACGGACACATGTGCAGACTCAAGTCTGACCATTTAAAAAGGGTAACTAGGAAGAGCAGGAGGAAATGCAGGACGTGAGGGAGATGGGCATGTGGGGAGAGGGAAGGACTCTGCCCTCCCCCTTTAGATGGGAATCAGCAGGGGACGTTTGTGGAAGACTGATGTAAAGAGCTTGAATTTAATTTTTTTTCTAAACCTTTAAAATATCCTTACTAGTTTAAGTGCAGGTGGAGAGGACAACAGAGTCCCAGGGAAGGCGAGAAGACTATGACCCAGAGCTCTTGCAGGAGCGGCGGCTACAGCTAGGAAGGAGGCACCTAGGTGCCCTGGTGTGCGAAGATAAGGGGCATCCAGCTGGGAGGCTCCTGACATCTCACTGAAGCACGAGCATGGCCATCATCAGACAGTGTGAGGGGGGAGCTGAGCCTGGAGAATTAGAAGAGGGAGGAAAAGGTACAGTCTTGGGAGACAGTGGGGAAGCCAGACCGCCAGGAAAGTGTCCAAGGCTGAGTGTGTTTGAGATAAAACAATTGACCCAGGAGTGAAAGGACTGGAGAGCAGCAGCACCCACCAGCCTCACAGCATTCCTGGTAAAACTAAGAGCAAGACAAAGATGGCCAGAGCACGGCTTGCAGGGGGAAACCCCTTAATGTCAAGCGCCATCGGTACTTCATGCAGAAGAAATGGAAAGACTTAATATTAAACTCCACCGATTGGCTGGAGGCGAAGGTGACTTATGTTTAGGAAAGAAAACAATCTCCCCTCCACAGAGCAGCAGCCGTGGGGAGCCTCTCGCGCGCCCTCCCACCCTGCTCACGGGGCGCAGCGAGCACGCGGGCCTGGACTGCGCCCCGGGCGGCGCCTGCACCCCCAGCCCCGGGCGGACGCGGGCGCGGGCGCGGCCTCCGCTGGGGGCGCCCTCCCGCCGGGCGCCGGCTGTCAGCGCAGGGCACGACCCCCACGCGCGAGGACCCCGTCTAGGGGTGCACTGCTGGGAACGTCACGAGCAGCTGTTTTTGCAATTAAAAAATAAAAAGCACCGCCACCGACTTCCAGACCCCGCGCCCGGTGTCCGCGGGCGCAGGCGGGGGCCGCCCGAGCTGCCCGGCCCGCGCGACCTCCAGCCGGCGGCTGCGCGCGCGGGGGGCCGGGGGGGCCCCGGGCCCCGGCCCGTCCTTCCCCTTCCCGAGCCCGCCTTCCCCGGCCCTCGCCGGGACCAGCGCTGGGCCGCGCCGGGGCGGACGCTGGACCCAGGCCCGCCCGGCCCCGCCTCGCGGGCAGGCGGCGGGGAGGGCTCGCGCCGCCGTACCTCGGGGGGCGCCCCGCCGCGGGGTGCTGGGGGGCGGGCTCGCCGCGCGCCTCTTCGGGACTGGGGTCTTGCGGCTCCGGCGGCGCGGGCCCATGGCGCGGAGGACCTCGGGGTGCGGGGACGAAGGCTGGCGTCCGGGAGGCCGCAGCGCCCCGGCCTGCGCCCCGCGGCTGGTGCTCGGCCGCCCCGCCTCACGCGACCCCGGCGCGGAGCCACTCCCGGCGTTTTTTAAACCGGAATCCGGAGACTCCCAGTGGCTGTCCCTGGAACGCCCCAGCGCAGAGCGACTGCGGAAAAGACCAATGAGCGCACAGACTGGAGGCACACGGCGGCGGTGATAGGAGGAGGGGGCGGGTACCTGGCGGATCGATGGTAGGAATCATCCAATAGGCACTTGGATGAAGTAAAGAGAGGCGGGACTTCTTCGGCGGGTGGCTGGGGGGGGGTTGTTCACTTTTTTTTTTTTTTTAAGATTTATTTATTTATGCATGCAAGAGCTGGGGTACAGGCCAGAGATGCGGGGGGTGAGAGGATTCACCAGAGAGAGTGGGGAACAGAACAGGCTGTCTGACTGAAATCCACTGCTGAGGGGAGCAGCGGGCTGTCAGGAGAGGTCTGCTGCGCCATGTGGGTTGCTTCCTGGCAAGGCTGGGAATTGAACTCGTGCTGCAGAGGCTGCGGATTGCTGCTTAGAGCGGTGCTTAACCCCTTGCGCCGCCAGGGAGGCCCGGGGTTCACCTATGAAGGAGTGGACCCACATCCTTGGGTACCCTCTGGTCGAAAATGGAAAGCTCGATTCTGAAGATGTAGATGGTGTTTGTAGAACACATTTCTCCAGATAAATCACTTTCCTCAAACTTTTTATGTTTTTTTTCCCCCCATCACCCTGAGATGGCTTTTAAAGAGGAGAGAGACCCACAGAGAAAGTGACAGCTCCCCACGCACCTGTGATTCTAGGAACACCCCACAACTATGACTCAAAGCCTGTTCAGCTGAACATTACTGATGTTCGAACAACCAAGTGACCATTATTGTTGGTTAGGTCTTGGAAAGTCCCTCCCTCTCACGCAGGACTTTATGGGGGGGTGGTTGGGAGGGAAGCAAGGCAGGCAGAATGTGTCCAAGGGCCCTCTGCTCTGGGCTGCGGATCATCATCCCAAAAGCCTCTTACTACACATCCCAAAGTGTTGGAGTTCTTTCTTTCCACATTCATTTTTACTGTTTTCTTTGATGGATCCACGATCCTTGGTGCATATCTGTTCTCAATAGTTGTGGGGAAGAAATATTCCTTTTTTTTTTTTTTTGGACTAAAGTGCTTCATGAAGGACAATTTATAAATAAAGGAAATCCCCTGTGACCTCAGGTTTTGAAGGGCTATAGTCATCAAAATACCAGAGGGCCTCTTAATCAAGGCAAATATAAATATTTGTCTATAAGCAAGCCAGAGAAGTGACTAGACATCCAGAGAACTGCTCCCTCTTATAGGCAGCCAGGGTCTAGGGAGGTAAATGATGTGTCCAGGGTCAAGGTCACCCAGTCTTGGCAAAGGTGGGCCAAGAACACAGCTCCCTGGACACCAGTCTGCTTCTTTCTCCTGCACCATGTGGTTGTCTGCCCGAATTCCTCCCAGGTATTCCTCCCAATTCCTCATCAGAGGTCAGAGCCATGACCTCCTTGTGTGCTGTTTACTACAGAGATCTTTGGACAACAGGGAGGCAAACCAACTGCTTGACTCAGCCCTGAATCTCTGCCTGATTCCTGGTAAGAGAGGAACCTGAAGTTTACCCCAGGGCCTGGAGGCTGTCCTGGAAGCTAAGCCCTAGGGCCTCCCAGGATCACCCTGTGTAGGTGTGGACTGCATTTCACTTCGATGCAGACAGTTGAAGATAAACTGATGTTTATGGAATTTATTAGTCAATTCTGATTTGGATTCAAGGTCTCCATGCCAAACTTTACCACTCTGGGCCCAACTCCACTCAGAATGGGAGGCCACAGTTCAGACCTTCCTCATGGTTCCCCAGGCTCAGTGGGAGAGGAGTCTTTTTGTTACAGGGCAGGGTGAAGGGCACCCCAGAACTCCCAAACCTGCCCACTCTAAATAGGTCCCGCCATCCGCCACTTCAAGACAAAATATACTCTAGTGTGTAAGACCTTTAGTGGAAAGGAACTTTAATACAATTAGTGTGCAACAAAGACAAGGGAAAGAATATAGTTTCCAAATCGAGAACCCCGAAGTTACCCATCCCCTTGTGCGTAAATGTCCAACCAAACAGGGTTGGCCCAAAGCAGGGCCACTGAGGCCCGAAAGCCTGCCGCAGTGTAAGGCATCTCCTGGTGGGAACTCACAGGAAAGGGACAGAAGGGGCCCAGCACATCTGGGGCAAAAGGAGCAAAATCAAAATAAAAGCTGCCATTGTTAATCTCCCCACAGGTCTCTCCCTCACATCTGTTTCAACCAGTCCAGGACCAAAATGCAAGCGCAGCTTTTTCCCATCTCTCTCTGCTCCACGTGCCTCCTCCAGGTCTCCTCCTGGTCCTCCATCCTTCCTCTCCTCCCTGCTCAGCTCTACCCTTCCTTGGGGAGGACGTAGGGAACCTGGAGCCTCCCTTTTCCTGGGGGCCATCCTGCTACACTTTCCCTCCTGCACTACACTTGCAAGGCTTCTCAAACTCACCTTCCAGAGCACCCCCTGACGGCCGGATAGAGGGTGGCCCCTCCAGGGGCTGGGGAGATACCTGCTGTCAGCCTAAAATCTCCTAAAGGCATCCCATTTTACCTTACACTGTGAATTTTACATTTGGCTCAGGTGGCGTTTCAAGAACGCATTTCATTCCAACCCCAGGAGCACCCACCCTCTCATGAAAATAGTCCATGCTGTAAATTTCCCTTTTTTTTTTTAAGGAAAGCCTAAAAGAACATCCTAAGTCTCCTGGTTTTGGACAAGGCAGTTGTGGTCCCCTGTACCCTCACTCATGATTTCCTTCTGCCTGGGATACACACCTCAGGCCGAGGACACTCTGGGCCCCTGGGACTCAGAGCTGGTGGATGGAGACCCTTTTCTCTCAACACACTGTAGGCACTGCTGGTTACCATAGAGCCCCACGGCTTTGCTCCTCAGGGCTCCCTTCCTTCAGAATCTGTTTTAAGGAAAGCATTTGGTGTTTTGTTTGAGCTGCCCAGGAAAATGGTCTGAGGCTCCAAAAACTGCCATGGGGTGAGGATCACTGGAACTGACCACTGCTCTCTGGGGTCCCTGAGCCAGTCCTCTTTAGGGTGGGGTTACTGGGAGAACACGTTACTTCCCTGTCAGCCCTAGGAAAGTCCCCCAAAGAGACCTGAAAGTGGGTGGGGCCACAGGTTTAGAGTCAGGTAAACTCAGCTAAGAATACTGGCTCCACCAGGAAGTCACTTAATTTTCTTTGGGCCACAGTTTCTTCTACGCAGTTTCTCACGTGAGGCTCAAAGTCAAACACAATGCCTGGGACAGCAGAACTACCTCCAAGTGGGAGGAGTCTGGCAAATCCACCACCCTGAAAGCTTTCCTACCAGTCAGGCTGCTGGGGTTGGGGCTGAGTCCAATTGTGCTTAGATGCAGGGAGCCTGTGGCTGGATGGCTGGGCCCACGTAAGGGGGACACTTTGCCAAGCAACCTACCACTCTGGGCCTGTTTCCTCATCTTCAGGATGGTAGGTAAGGGTCTCAAAAGCTGTGACCAAGGGCTATCTGGAGTCCCCCTGTGATCTCTCCCTGGCAGGGAGGTCTTGAGGGTGTGTGAGCAAGGACCCCATGAGCCATGGAGCACTTCCAACAAGTAGACTGTTATTCCACCCCAGGTTGGTTAAAATCACAGACCTACTGAAGGGGCCCGGCTGGGCCGGAGGCACTGAAACCAGTGTCAGAGAAGGTGCCAAGGCCCAGAGCAACCGGGGAAGGGGCCAGGAAGTGCCAGTGGAGTTTGCAGCTAAAACCTGGGTCATCAGCAGGCCCAGGGACTACACCACAGGTTTAGAACACATGGTGCCTAATTTTAGCTTGGCTTTGCTCACTGACTTCTTCCTTTGGAGAACCAGATCTAGCTTATGACCAGGAGGAACCCCTACGGTTCTTCATTCCTGCAGTTCCACTTCATGATTTAGCTCTACTGCTGCAGGAGGGGCTCGGAGGGCTAGGGGGGTGCTTGGTGGGGTCAGTCACTGCACTCAGGTCTGTGGAGGGCTGAGTAATACCTCCTCGTAGGGGGTGGTGACAAAGGAGGACCTGGGTGTCCTGTTATCGTCTGTCAGCAGCTGCCCTGGGGGGTGTCTGTGGGGAGGGGGAGAGGTGAGGCCTCAAGGCTCACCAGCCTGTGTGGCCCCAGGGCGAACAAGGAGCATCCAGGAGGCAGCCAAGGTCCCATAGGAGTTTCAGCTGGTTTCGTTGATGGGAGTCCGTGAGCCCCCCAGCAGTCTCTCATGCTCACCCTCCTCTGCTGGGGACCGGCTCCTGGACAGGCAGGCCAGCAGTGGGCGGTGCAGTCCGTTGTAGAGGGCAGTGCCTGTCAGGAGAACAAGGAAGCCGAGGATCTGCAGGGGGTGGAAGGCCTCCCAGCGCAGCGCCAGACTCAGGGCCCAGATGACGATGGTACGCAGGCTGTCCAGCACCATGCGGGTGGTGGCGCTCAGTTCCTTGGTGACGCTGATGCCCGCAAAGTTGAAGAAGGCAATGCTGCTGATGTTGCCCAGCAGTGCCACGGCGATGAGTGGCTGCCGGCCGATCTGGCAGAAGGCATCCAGTGCGTCCTCCAGGGTCCCACGGGGGTTGCCGCTGAAGGAGCTGGCCGGGATATAGTACATGGGCACCAGCAGCAGGGAGAGGATCACGAAGCCGAAGAGGCCTGCGGGAGTGGAGGAGGCACATCACTCTGCTTGGCCCCCAGACCCCAGCACAACTTGCCCAGTAAGGCCACCTCTGATCTCCATGCTGCTCCTTCCCAGCAACCCTCACACCAGCTCCTTCCTCTTCCTCAGGGCCTGGCATCTGTCCCTTCATCAAGAGAGATTCCAGCGGCCAGCTGGAATGGGCTGATGGGCTCTAGCTGCCCCTTCTCACTTGACTCGGTCATTTTCTGACTGGCCAGGAGTGAGAAATACACTCTATAAAGTGACCCAGTGGAGGTGGGTGCGGATGCGTGGCACCCACGCTTTCATAACACTCTAGCTCCTGACGGACCGTGCCAACACCTGAAATCCTACACTGCTCATTTCAGAAAGAATTGCTGGCCACAGCCTGATTCCACTGCACCGGTCTGTGATGAGGAGCCGGACCAGCATGTAGATAACCACACTGCTCCCCTTAGAGTCCTGCTGGGAGCAAAATATGAGTGGAAACAAACAGTATGCTGGGGGATGCAGTTGATTTCACTGACTTACGTTCTGCCGTAAGCCCCTCAAGTCACGGTGGACCAGGCACAGACAGCTCCGGTGAGGCCGCGGCCACACTGGAGTAGTAGGGCTCGAATCCATCCTGCTCATCTCACTGTGACTTCATAGTACTTGCCTGCTTAAAATCTTTCAGTGGTTCCTCCCAGCCTGTCAGTAAATCTACTTACTTGCCTGATGTTCAAGGTTTTCAAGGACATGACCTTGACCTCTTCAGTTTCTGATTTCCCAAATAGGCAACCAGCATCTCACCCAAACAATTCATCCCTTGCTTCCAAATTCATGTCCAGTTCTCCCCACCTTTGCTCTGTCCTGTCTGTCCTTCCCACTCTGGCCTATTGAAGTCTGAAGCTCAAATGCCACCTATCCCGAGACGTTCAGGTATGCTTGGTGAATGAAACAAGGGCAAGGGTGGTCTGAGCTGAAACGCACTGCTGGTCAGCTCCTCTGAAGTGGGCCTTGAGGTCATTCATTGCATATTCACCCTCTCCTGGCTCTTGGCTGTGTGCCTGGCAGGCACTGGGGTATTTGTCAACAGGCACGTGGTGAGGGTGGAAGGAACAGGGCAGGAGGCCCGCCTCTCTCAGGATGCCCAGCACCTCACCCTATGCTCTCCCCTGTGCATGAAAGCCACAGGCTACATTCCAGTGCACATGCCCTCAGCACCTTCCTTCCAGCCCCTGTGCCCACACATACCCTCAGTGCCAACAGCCCGCAGCGGGTGCACGTTGTGCTTGTAGACGAACTTCTCCTCTAGTACCATCTGGATGGAGACGATAATCTGGGCCATGATGATCAGCAGGTCCCCTGTGGCAAAGGAGGGGCCATGGTGATGCCAGGCCTGCACTGGAGTTGGGGTTGGGAGACAGCCTGGCCAAGGGGCAGTCGGCAGGGTGGCAGGCCCGTGGCAGAGGGAGATGGTCCTCCGGGGACAAAACAACACACACAGCCCCTGACTTGCAGGATACTGTGGAGTTCATGAGGCATGATGGCCCACGCCTGATCTCCTGGCCTCAGAGTGGCAGGGCCAGGCAGAGGGGCAGACACCTGCTCTGGGCTGAGGCTCCAGAAGATCCAGACGTCTGCCTGAGTCTGAGAGCTGCACAAAGTGGATCTTGGAAGACCAGCAGGCTTTGAGAGAGACACTTTTGGTTTAGTCCCATCTCTGAGTGACAAAGTAGTCACTGCACTGGTGTTCAGCCCCTCCTCTCCCAAATGCTGGAGTTTGTAGGTCCACACATAAGTGTGCTTCAGCACAAGCCCCTCCCTCCTGTAAGCCCCCTTCTCACCCTGCTTGTGCCTCTCAGGTCTTCCCTACATGCTATGCATCTTTAGGTACAGGTCCACACCAGCTTGTCCCCCACATGCCCTCACGAGGGCGTGGCATCCAGCAGGGCTTGGGAATGTTAGCTGAACTGTGCTGGGCTCCCAGAGAGGACAGGCTGGGGCAGAATGGGACAGGACAGGACAGGACGGTGAGGGCAGCCTGGGGGACCATCCGGCCGTACCTGTGATCACTTCGCTGAGCTTGTGCTGGTCGTCGTGCTTGCTCAGGAGGTCCGCCAGGCCCACGACCACCAGCCCCGCAATGGTGGCGAGGATGCCCAGCCACTGGCTCAGCACCAGCCTCCGCCCCAAGAAGGCCACCGAGAAGAGGCCTGTGAATATGATCACTGCTCCCCGAAGCATCTGGAAGCTAGAGGCGCTGGTCATGGTCAGGGCTGGGGGAGGAGAGAAGCAGGATGTTAGCTGCTGAGGGCAGAAGCTGTCTATTCACCGAGGTGTCCTCAGGGCTGAAGACAAGTGTAGCATATTGTTAGTGCTCACTAAACCTTGGTTGAATGTGAGAGTGTGTTTGTGAGAGAGAGAAAAAGAGAGAGTGCCAGACAGTCCGTGGGAGGGTGGTGGGATGAGATGAAGATAAGTTTGGGGGGAGGCTGTTTTATCAGTGGCTTCGCTCAGCCCTTTTGACTTGGCTTGGCTACTCACCCACATACATGATGCTGGTCCCGGTCATGTCACAGAGGGCCGGGGGCAGGAAAAGAAGGGGGTTGAAGGGCTGCTGGAGAGTCATAGTGGCGTCTGGGTGCCCCGCAGCTCTGCATTGGAGTAGGTAGAAGACAGCCAGGCAGGACAACTCCCCCAGGAACATGCCCACTGCCTGCAGGGACAGAGCCCTAGAGTTTAGAGCCAGAAGGGGCAGCACCTTTAACAAAACATTTTTTGGACACAATCTTTCTACAAATAAGAGCTTAGTATGACCCCAGCACAGCCAACAGACTAAAGTGGGGTTGCTGTGAGGGTGTGGTCAGAGATTGCCTGTAGGTCGACCCCAAAGTGTCTGAATAAACCTCCATGGAAACCTGAAGGCTGTGTAGAGTCCAGTCTGAAAACCATGGTCAAGTTCCAGATGGAGAAACAGGTCCAGAGAGGCTCAAGAACTTTTTAAGGTCATTGAGCAAGTTGCTGGTAGAGCTGAAGGCTGTTGCTTCCCAATCTAGCAACAAGGTATGTTCTGCTCAGTGACCATCCCTTCCAGTGGGCTCGCCGTGGGCGGAGAGCAGGTTGATGTGGTGAGGGTTGGCCTCGTGGTGCCCAGGGCATGGCTGCTCACCAGGGCTCATGTGAGCTTCAGGCAGAGAACTGAGGCCTCTGCCCCTTCCAGGAGTGCCTCATACCCTGGCCTCTGCTCTGCAAAGGCAGGGAGAGCAGTGGACAGGTGTTCCCTAGGTCAGGAAGCAGCAGGGCTTCACAGGGGCACCTGGCCTGAGGTTTGGAAGAGGGAAGGTGGGGAGGGATCAGGATGGATGGGGCAGATACCTGGAGGAAGGGATGCTGGAAGCTGTGCTCTTTGCTCCCTCCACATCCTTGGGCCACCAAGTTGTCCGCCCACCTGCAGCAGAGAGAGAGAAGGTCAAACCCTGCAGTGGGTGGGTCCAGCAGCCCTGGCCTGGTGCCCAGCTTGCTTCTCTTAAGGTCAAGAAGCTGGACTTGGGGGACTTGGCTCAGAGGGGTTTGTCTCTGTGGCAAGTTTTTATCAGAGATTGTGGACAGAACGTGGGGTCTGGGGAACTTTAACTGAGATTTCATGAACCTTAATTGAATCCTAACAGTTCTTCAAATTACGAATGTAGTACCATGGTACCCGCGAATCTGTGACACGCAGAAATCACAGCTATTCTCATTATCACATGAGATTCACTGCAGCTAGTGTAAGGAGCATTTACACTCATCCAAATTTACAGCAATTTTATGTATTAAGCACAGCGGCACACATACATATTACTATATCACACATTTGCTTTTTTAATAACTTTATTTCAATATAATTAGCTTTTTCTGTAACCCTCAATTTTTTATTTGCACATTTTCAAATGTTACTCTGGGCGTCATCAGAATGTCAAAGGCACCCATGGCACAAAACTGTCAGGAGCTCCTGGGCCACAAGGGACATGACCCTGACACATACCACCCTGGTCCCCTTCCTACAACCTGGGGGTTCAGAGCATCTTTCTAGCATGACTCTAAAGCGGGGGCAAGTCCGTAGCTCTGGAGGCGTGATCTGGCCACACGCTGGCAGGCAGGGTGACTGACCAGGGCTGGCTTCCCGCTGGGCCACCTTCATTCTGTAGTGTCTGCCAGCTGCGCCCTGAAGCTTTGGCCCCTGAATTCCCTGGGTTTAGGTTTGTCTCTGGGGGCTAGTCTGATCTCTGATCTCTTTTCATTTAAAAGTCCTTCAGAGCTGGAGACTTCTTCGCCTTCTGCAGAGCCAACTGCCCTGGAGCAGGTGAGCAGGTGGGAACTCAGGGAGCTGGAGCCAGGGCCCCTGCCAAGTCCGGGAAGGTCAGCCAGGAGCCCAGGGCAAGGGCAGCTGTGGAAGCCGCTTCCTCAGTCTGATGCGGCACCTAAAGCACAAACTGGCAGGTTGCAGAACACCCCCAGTTCCAGAAGTGCAGCCACCTCCTGAAACCCCCTTTGGGCTCCTGTCCATGCCGCTTATAGTCAAGGCAACTCACATTATATCACTGTCTCAAGTAATCACTTGAGACACCTGTGAGCAGTTTCCCATCCCTCAGGCCCCTGCTCCTGGCACATCAGCACACAAAAGCTGGAACATTTCTCCACTGAATGACTGGATTCCCAGGCCCTACCAAGCAAACAGGTACTCAATCCAGAGGGAAAGGGTCCAGGGGTCATAATTTCCACCTGGGTCTGAGGTGCCCCCTGCTGGAGAACCAGTGGGCCTGTCCCCTGGGTGGGACCAGCGCTGAAGGGCTGGTTAGAGCCCCGCCCTACCAGACAGGGCTGTCTGCTTCTCTGTGTTAGGCCTGCCCAAACAGGTGGAGCTGGCAGCTTCCCAGCAGGAGAAATAGAATCTTTTTGTATCTGAGGGCCTGAGGCAGGCTCAGAGCTCCAGGGTTGGGTGTCAGCAGGACCAGCTGCTGGCCTGGCCCTTCTTCAGGCCTGGGAGAAGTAGGCGGAGGCAGCAGGCGTTTCATCCTGGCCCTGAGATGAGCTTCAGCTTATTGGGCAGGCACTGAAGGACTGGAGGGAGAGAACAGGAACGAAAACCTAGCCCCAGTTTACCCAGGATGACCCCACAGTGGCCCTCACTTGGCCATCTGCAGGACACTTCCCTCACCTGGTTTTGGAAACGCACACTCACTGCACGCCCGCCGGATCTGTGGCGAGCACTTCCGGTGGGTTGTCGTAAGCCTCACCTCCCGTCTGGGACCCTCGTTTTTTCAGATGGGACTTCGAGGTGTGGGATGGAGGGGTGGGGAGACAGTCAAGAGGGGCGGAGCTAGGGCCAACCCATCTGCTTGAGTTGACGTTCAGAGAAGGCAGCGAGACGCACAGAAGGCTCAGACTTTTGAGCTCACAGGCTGGATGAGTCACGGTTTCCTCAGCTATAACATGGGGATAACAATGCCAACACGATGGGTTGTCAAAAGCGGTGAGATGGGTAGACCTGGCACATGGCCGCTCATCAAGAAAAGCTCTTTCCTCCCCTGCTCCCCCTTTCCTTCTACTGAGCAGAACCAGCTCCCGCAGTGTGGGTGGGGGTGGCCCCAGCTCTACTCCAGCCTTAAGGCTTCTGGGAGAACAGCTATTCTCTGGGACTTCCCCTGCTGGCTGAGGCAGAGGTAGCTGGAAGGCCACATGCTATGTCCCCTGTAGTTTCGTGAGGCACAAAATGCAGAAACAGAAGAAACTCAGCTGTCAGCTCATGAAGTTCCTTATCTGACAGAGGAGGAACCCAGGTGCCAGGAGCCCGAGGAACCCAGGGGTCCCCATCTCCAGTTTGGTGACACTTCATTACTTGCTCTCCCCTTGTCTTCTTACTCTAGCTCCTTCCCAAGCCCCAGGGATGTCAGCCCCGCAGATGCACCCCTCGGTTCTCCCTAGACACTGTGTCCTGGGAAAGCCATGGCTTCCAGGGCAGAAGGTCTGGTCAGGCTGAGGGGGTGAGTCACTCTGGTGTGGGCCTGGCCAGTGAAATTCAAAGCTCAGCATTCTGAGAGGTGTGTGGGCTGGGGGGTTGGGGTGGGGGGGCTGCAGAGAGACTGAGGAAGTGGCTGATGCGGCCGCCTGAGATCAATTAGCTGTGTGTCCATTCCCCACAGAATCTCTGCCATTTCCTCTTGCACCCCCAGCTTGTCAAGTCAGTGAGTCAGCCTCACTCTCCAGCGGGGCCAGAGGGCTTCTCCACTCCCTGGGGCAAGAACAAGTGCGTTTCCGAAAACAAGTTGAGGGAGGTGTCCTGCAGATGGCCAAGTGCAGGCCACTGTGGGGTCATCCTGGGTAAACCGGGGCTAGGTTTTCACTCCTGTTCTCTCCCTCCGGTCCTTCAGTGCCTGCCCGCCCAATAAGCTGAAGCCCATCTCAGGGCCAGGATGAAATGCAGGTGCCCCTGGCTCAGTGGTGATGAATGATGAAGAGCCCGCTTATCTCCAGGTATTTCTCAGTAGCTCCTACCAGGTGTTGGGGAAGAGGGTGGGATAGTCACGCACCCATTTTACAGATGAAACTGAGGCTTAGATCCCCTAATCCCACAGCTTCTGACCTCATGGTCTACCCTACTACATTATCCTCCTGATTTAAGGCTTTCTCCATTTAGCCTAGGAATCCCTGTGAAGCAATTATCCCAAGCCAGCTCAGAGAACTTAAGGGTATGGCAGTTGCCAAGGCCACAGTTAGGGCTGGCACAGAAAGGACAAGTGAGTGTCTCCCCAAATAGAGGTCCAGGCCTCCTGTCATTTCCTGGCAGGGCCCCTGTGCCCAGTGGACCTGATTATTGGATGGAAAGGCTCTTTACATGCAGAACCCCAGCTGGATTCCGGCAAACGGGCTCTGAAGAGCTTGACTCCATGGACACGTACTGTTC